CTTCGCGTCCCGGATCGTTGGTTGTTCTGTTTAATTTTGCAGATTAATTGTTGTTGAAAATTCGGGGCGTGACAGTTTGGTCTAGTAGGACTATTAATGAAAAGCCCCTCGTAAATGCACATGAGACAGGGCCACGTAGAATCCGGTTGATAACGACACCAAAGTGACTTCACGCGATGACGTAGTACTACATGTCGTGCCATGGTTGCAGGTTTAGAACAGTCACGTGGACGCTCATCTAGCCGTAGACATCAATGCATTCTTTCTATAGTGGGTTAATTATTGTGACTCGAGTCTTCATCACTAATCTGAAAAGTCTATAAAGGAAGTCTTAGTCAAGCCACGCCACTTGGTCACCAATTTTAACAACCAACCAAGCCTCGAAAAAGGGTTTCAAGTTCGAATATTTTTATACTCTGTTAATTAAATAAATTAAAAAAACGGATGAGTTTTAACAGATAAAAAATAATCATTACAAGTTAAGTAAAGGCATTTTCTATCTATATAATAGGGCCAGGCTTTGCCTCAGTTTTCTTATAGGAAAACAAGTAATACATAACATACACATATGGCGTTTCAATATGGGATGCTTATGCGACTTTCAGTGTTGCTAGTACTTTTACTAGCGGCTACAAATGCTGTAGCAGCAGCAACAACAAGAACAAGCGCAAGAGAAGGAGGAGCAGAAGATGGAAAACCCGGCGCGTCTGAAATGGCCAAGCCTAACTGCAAAGACAAATGTGGTAATCTCACAATTCCATACCCATTTGGCATAGGTCACGGTTGTTACTCCCGACCAGAATTCAGCATCACCTGCAAAGAATCCAATGATGAGAGTGAGCCCACAACACCCCGATTGATGGAAACCCGTATGATTGTCACCAACATATCCCTTGAAGCGGGTGACCTGGAAATAATGCAGTTAGTAAACAGAGATTGTTATGACGCCCAAGGTAACCTAACCAATAACCAAACCAGGGGCGGGCTCAGGGTGTATCCGCCAGATGCAGCTTTCAAATTCCATCTTCATCATCAACGACCGTGCATGCATTCTTTCTAGTGGGTCAAGTATTATTATTCACACTTTTTAGTAGTGCACAGCTTTGGCCCGTGATTGTGACTCGAGTCTTCATCACTATTACTAATCTGAAAAAGCTGTATCTATCAAGGAAGTCTTGGTCAAGCGAAGCCACTTTATCTTGTGGTCCAATCAACATAATATTACTCGAGCATCGGAGGGTCTTAGGCTGGTTCCACACCGGTTACATAGACTTTACGAGCTTCGCTTATCTTCTATTCAGGATCAGCATCCAAGGACAGGAAGAATCGGCATCCAACACCCAATCGATCTCTTGATCGTCCATCCCACTTGTAAGTTGCACTCATCTCTATCTATTCAAGATTTAGCGTCAACATAAAAGTTTTTTGATAACTGAGTTTAGTTTTATGTGGAACTCAAAAATGTAATTGTTTGGGGTCAAATTGTGAATTTGAGATCATATAATGAAAGTACATGTTACAAAAAGTTTGTAGTATTTTTAGGTGATTTTTTGGGAAGTAGGAAGATATGTTTTTTTTTCTCCTCTCTCGAAACCACCCTGTTTTCTCAATCAAAAATAGTTTTTTTTAAATTCCCTCCAAGAGACTAGATGATGTGTGTCTTGGGTGCTTCACGATCATGATTAATATATGAAAAAGCTATAAAAGGATTGAATTGGACCATGCATGCATGTATGCATGTATATGCATCAACGTCCAAAGAATTGGAATTTTGGGTGCATGTGGGACTAAATTATATGGTTCTTACATGGAGAGGACCCAGACGTAGACTGCATGCAACAACATTATTGCAAACAGACAAATTTATTCCAATTGAGGAGGACCATCATGTGTAAATTAACGTCCAATGTATATAACATGCTCACTCAAAAAGTAAATAAGTTAAGCATCTCTAATCTAAATGGGAGGATGGAAATTTGGACATAAGTGAATTCTCTATCTCCAGCATTAGTTGGTCCAGTCAAAATTAGAAAGTTAGTTTAGGTCCTTTAACCACATGGTTTATTTTATTTTTCCAACAAAATCCAAAAACGTATTGACAGCTATAATAAAAACCTAAGTTTGCCTCTTTTACCCTTCTACCAACCCAGCAGCATTACTTCTCTCTCTTCCTTTCCTCAACCTGTCTATTTTGTTAGAGCTCCTCCAGCCATGCACCAAAACCGGGCAAAAGGCCCCTCGGGCTAGCCCATTGCAGCTCCAGCGGAAGAAATGAAGCCTGGGCAAGTGGTGGGTCCTACGTACCTGGGCAAGCCCACGGGCAGATCTTGCCTGGGCTGAAGCCCGAAGGCGCTGACGTCATGCGTGACGTCACGCTGACGTCAGCCCTCACCAATTCAAATAAGTAGTAGTCAATCATCCAAAGGCACATTCTTTCTTCTTTTCTTTGTTTTCTCTTTTTAAAGGATAATGCCTCCTTCCTTGACTAGTAATGTGGCTCAATCACAAACTGACACGTGTCTCTTTTTTTGGTTAAATTCTCAAAAGTTTTTTTCTTTCTATTTTATTATTCTTAACTGAATTTTCTTTTTCCTACTTTAGTTAAAATTTTAAGTATTTGTGTGGCCCTTTCCAACTCCAACAATCCCCATTAGGCAAGTTTGTCATTGATAACGTTGATATGCATAGTTTCTTTACGGAGAGGTTTTTTTTTTCTTCTTTCTAATGGAAAATAGGCTTTTTTGGATCAAGCAAGCTTTGAGTTGTAAACACCGTAAAATACGGAATGAAAATATATATGAGTTCAGATCTGCTATCCCCAAAACCATATACCCTATGTTCCCTACTTTATTCTTTTGACATGTATTCCTCCAACTTAACCTAAACTTAACAATATTAGCCTTGAAAAAAAACAATTCCACTTGAAATTTTTTTTACTCTTCTTCCTTCGACTGCTCACCTGACTGCACAGGTGAGCCAAACCAGCCCTTTGTTTTTTGTTTTGTTTTTTCAGTTCCGTCTCTAACCAAAATAACACCATCTCTCTAACAAAAATTCAGCCATTCTATTTTTAATACTATGTATGTTCTCCTTCCCCCCCTTCTATATTCTTCCATTAATAGTTTTTTTTCAGAAAAAAAAAGGTTGCGAAAAGAGATCTTGTCAGTAATCAATCAGTCCAAAAGCGAAGTCTAGGTCTATTTTTTCTTCTTTTATTTTTGGTCAGAAAACAGAGTCTTGGTCAGTCAACGAAAGTAAACAGAAGTCATTGCCACGAAATTGCCTAGTAAGCCCACAGCTTTTTTTGACTAGCAAAGGAACCCTCTCTCCTCACAGATCATCCTTATTTCTAGAAAATTTTCTTCTCTTGTAAGCTTTCTCTCTTCATCTGATGAAGTTCTATTGACCCAAAAGAGAAAACAAAAGAAGGAAAAAGGAAAAAAAGATCATCCCTAATCTCTTATCCTCTTGCCATTGCATCCAGCAAATAGCGTGGTAAGTGTTTTTATCAGTTGAAGCTTAATTTCCTGAAATAAATATATGTAATCTCTCTCACTATCAACGTTCAAAGGCTTCTGTATACTAGTATCTAAAGCACTTTTGATATGTAGGTTTCTGTATGCTCTTGAAGTTATGTCCTTACCGCGCTGTGTTGATCATCTGACCAAAATCGTAAGGTTAGTTTTTGCAAGATGTAGCCGTTTAATAATATAAGATGATTATTTGGCGTGCGCTCTAATTTGTTAAGTCTAGACTTCTCAATTTTCTGATTGCACTTTTCTTTTAATTAGCGACGCACCAGGTAAACTGACACGATGTCTCCCATCCAAAGTTAGAGAACTTTTAACAAAGAAATGGGAAAGAACACATCTTTCAGCTTCATTTTGGAACAAGATGATTGTAATTTCATGTGTTATTGCAATTTCCCTAGATCCCTTGTTCTTATACATTCCATTCATCGATGAGGAAAAGAAATGCCTTGGAATGGACAACGGGTTGTGGAATGTGGTTCTGATTTTGCGATCTGTAACGGATATCACTTTCGTGGTGGATATTGGATATCAAATCTATGAAGGTATGAAGAAAGCCTACAAGGAGATCAACCTAGGGAAGCAGAAATGGGAATTGGATTGGCAAACGACGTTAATAAGAAGAGATGAGATAATTCCATTTGCTAAGAATTTAGCTCGGGAGTTGAAGTGGTGTTCTTTGGTGACTGACCTACTCTCTGTTTTTCCCATGCCACAAGTAATAAGAGAAATTCAAAATTTTGGTGTAAATTATGAGCTAGGCAGCTTTAATTACAATGGACTTCTAACCCATTACTATTATTCTTTTGTGCAGCTTCTAGTAAAAGGTTTTTTCAAAATGTGGTCGGGATATTCAGAACCGAGAAAGGCTGTCAACTTTTTTCTTATCAGCCAGTATCTGCCAAGAATTTATCGAATTACTTTATCTTCCGCGGATCTTAAAGAGACCATCGGAATATGGGTCAAAGCCCTATTCAATTTGTTTTTATACATTCTTGCTAGTCATGTAAGTTTCACTTCCATATTATT